TTTGACTTCATGATAGGAACTTGCACATGGCAGGAATTCCAGGGCAGGAGCTGGTACATAGGCCATAGAGGAATGCTGCCTGCTGGCTTACTCTCATGGCTTATACACTTTGGGCCTTTTTTATACAACTCATAATCATAAGTTCAGGAATGTCAAAATCCACCAGAGGGTAGGTTTTCCTGTATCAATCACTAATTAAGAAAATGCCTTACATAAAAAGAAAAAAAATGGAAGAAAGAAAGTGATTCACAGGCTTACCTACAGCCAGTCTTAAAGAAGTTCCCTTTTCTCAGATGGCTCTAATTTATGCTAAGTTGACATAAAACCAGACAGCACGACTGCTTTTGTCAACTTTAAAACAAATGCATGATTCATAGCCCAGAATCTTTGTTTCCTGTTTATTTCTACAGTCACATGTTAATATCAACACTGAATTATAAGCATTCCAAATTTTTAATGTCCCATGGTCTTAAAAATTCAAACAGTTCAAAATTCCTTTAAAACATTTAGTCTCTTTTAAAATTTAATATCTCTCAACTGTGGGCTCCTTTCAAAATAAAAAAAAATGGCTTAATAGTTTGTTAGTTCAAGAAGGAAGAAGCACGAAACAGTCACAATCTGAACAACCTCCCTTCCTCCTAAAACTCAGGATCATTGAAGAAGATGGGGCATAAGGAATGTAATATCTTAAAGTAATGAATAACTGTGAGGGAACATTATCTTCTGTACATAGCAGGGTAGTTGCACATAAGAACTCACAGTATATTAATAGCATGTTCAAACCCTGTGCAAACCCATGCCAGACCAGATCCCAGTGAGAGAAGAGTTGGACAAAGAATCCTTCTCCAAGCCATAGAGGAACAAGCAGATAGTATTTTCTAAGAGTATAACCCTTGGTAGAGTGCAACCCTTGGTAAATTGATGACTTTTCAGTGGCAGACCGTGCATCCAAGAATATTTGAACAGCACAAATTTCTTCTGAAGGATTAAAAATTACACATAATTATTCAGATAGAGAAGGGGTCATGGGGAATTGGGAACGATTTGGGGGAGGTTGCGTGGGTGGAAATGATAAAAAGCATATGACTTGCAAAAAACTAATAGTTACTTTAATAGTTAACTTTAGTTACTGAGATACAGGTGATTATGAAGGAAGAGATGGAAAAAAATGAGCATGGGATGGCTTTAATTTGGAAGAGGGAGGGAGAACAATAGAAAAGGAGACAAAAGCAATAATAAGTAACCCTAAGGATGTTTGACAAAGATATAAATATAGTTTTCTATATACTTAAAATCACACACACACACACACACACACACACACAACACACACACACACACACACACACACACACACACACACACACAGGCACGCGTGCCAGCATGCACATTGTGTCACTAGGGAAGATAATACTTCCAAGAGCTATAGACTAACAAAAATCCCCGTACCAGGCATATGAAATCTTTCTTCAAGATTTTAGTCAGGGGAGACAAAGAGATTCCCAAAACATCATAGGCTATTGCTGCTAACTTTGGTCATCTCCTAGAAGTTCAATGTAGACACTGAAGACACCTGTTTCAGACATAGGATCCAGAAGATTCATGTTGGATCTATCCCACCAACCTCTTCCATGAGAACAAATTTCAGAGTACTGGAAGAGGCAATGTGATCTGCAAAGACAGGAAAGCTCTCAATAGCACTACCCATCAGTGGCACTTGTAAATCTCAACAATGTCCAACATGACAATGTATTCTTTAAAATGTAATAGTGGCATATATAACCTGACACTAAACAACATATATCCAAGTGGACATATGGCCCATTAAACAGAAGAATGCCTGATACTAGAAACGATCAAGTAACCATGGCTAGTGATGTTGTGGGTCTTAGAGAAGATCTTACTAGCACTAGTTTTCTAAACTAGTATAATTTGTCACTGCATTTTAAATACTGTTATTCCCACAGATAAGTATAATTCTCACTTCTCATCAAAGATTATTTTGTACAGCAGATAGAAACCTTTACAGATAGCTACAGCTTTCTTTCTTTTTTCTCAAAACTGTTTCACTTTATTTTCCTATGAAATAAAAAACCATGGAAACTCCTAAGGCACATTCTATTGAAATTTTTTTTATTTCTGCAATTTAATAGTATAATTTAAATATTCTATTTCTCAGACTTAGTTATAACACAACTTTACAATATGGGTGTACATTCAATTATATATGTTTTACTGTTGACAGAACTATCGTCCTTGAGGCACTTATGCGGTTTTGATTATATTAGGACACTGTATGTGTGCTTATAACCATAAGCCTCACTTCTTGGTGAACATTAGAGGTGGATATCAAGCTGTAATGACATCATTCAATATATTCATTAGTAATGGTAGTATGTTTGTATGTATCTCCCTTGATTCAGTTTACAGGCCTCAAAATCAGGTTTTTAGTGTTTTGAAGCAAGTATTTTATTACTAAGCAATCTCATCAGCCATCTCTTTACTCTTGAGTGAATTTATACAATTGCTTATAGCAAATTTTCAGACTTTATCAATTTTATATTTAGTAAACCTGATTTGGATCTTATTCCTTTATTTTCAGATCCTCATTCCTCGATAACTAACAGATCATTTCTTTTTTTCTCTGTTTTTTAATTGGTTATTTTATTTATTTACAATTTAAATGTTTCCTTCTTCCCAGTTTCCCCTCCACAACCCCCTATCCTCTCCCTCTGTTTCTATGAGGGTGCTTCCCCACCCACTCACTCTCTCCTCAGTGCCGTAGCATTCCCCTACACTGGGGTATCAAGCCTCCACAGGACCAAGGGACTCCCCTCCCATTGATGCCAGTTGATGTAATCCTCTGCTACCTATGGGTCCCTCGGTCCCTCCATGTAATCTCTTTGGTTGGTGGTTTAGTCACTGGGAGCTCTGGAGTGGGTGGAGTTCTGGTTGGTTTAAAACGCAATGAATAACTGACTCACTCCTATCCAGTCCAAATTCATACAAGTACAACACAACCTTTATACCTAGGGAGTCAAAGAATATCGATGAAGATATGATGGAAAGATCAAAAGACTCATGGACCTAGGAAGTATTTCTGACATATAACAGGGGGGCTCTACATCTAAAAGCTCAATAGTGTGGCTGTTTAAAAAGACCTGAGTAATGCTAACACCAGTGGACCTCCCAATATAGATGGGGTAAATCTCATGGGGCCTCACCCTAGATAAAGGGCTATAGACCATAATTTCTGAGAGGGAGAATCAGTCTTCCTCTAGGGATAACTCCTACACTGGCTTATCTTATACCAAATGGTCATCCCTAAAAACATATGAATACAATAACTGTAAATGGACTCAGTAAGTTGTGTGTGTGTATGTGTGTATATATTCATATGTATATGTTTAATGGAAAAAAGGCTATGCAGTTTTGAGGGAAATCTGGGAAGATACACAGCTATTTTAAAAATTTAAATTGAAGTATGGGATTTTTTTCATCTGTGAACCCTGTAAGTCATTTTCTATTATGAAGAAAAGCTTAATTTTCTGATAAGTACAAGGAACGTGTTTCTATCCCTTGTAAGACAAGGATGTTGGCATTGAATTTATAATAGTTTCCTATTTATAGTATCACTCACTATCACTTTTTGGAAACTGCTATTAGTTATGCAACAACTTGGAAGTTTTCAAAAAAATAAGAAAACGGAGAGCAGTAATAACACCAGAAAAAAATGTGTGCTTTATACAGTAAGTCAAGAGAGTCGACTGGATGCTTTAACTGGAGGAAGGTTTCTTATTTGTCGACTCACTGTCTCATGCTCAGCAAGTTTTATTATACAATCCACGCCCACCTGCCTAGAAATGGTGCTGCCTAAGATGAGTTGGATTCTCCCGCATCAATTATAAATTTGAAGACAGTCTGTCACAGATAGCCTTAAGCCAGACAGATCTGGGCAGTTTCTCAATTGTGACTACCTCAGATGACTGTAGATTGTGTCAAGTTGAAAGCTAACACTCACTAGGACAATACTTCCAAAGGAGGAGACACATTAGAAAAATCCTCTATACTTCGAGTTATTTTTTAATGTCTGTGGTATTGGCTTTACAAATGGTATGGAGCACGATGAAAATTGGTTGTTGGAATAGCTTTGAGGAGTGTGGATGAGAACCTACTACAATTATTTTGTTAAATGCACATAATATAAAGCTGCCTTCTAAATGCTTATTTTCATGCCTATAGGTTGGTGTAGCTCTCAGCCCTCAGCGGAGAAGCTTCTTTTGCAACAGACAGAGATAACACAGACCCACAGCTGGTCAAAATGAACAGAAGGCATGCTGAGCTGCTCAGCACTAAGCCTGGCATCTGCATCACACTCCAACCCGCTCCCAAGGCTGAAGGAAATTCACTTAGTATACTGTAAGGAAATTTCACAACACTTATTAATAACTTAAATAGTATTTTACAGACTTCTATTTCTAGGACTTTATCCATAGAGATATTCTCAAGCATATGAAATTATTTATACTCAAACATTGGACATTTTGACAGTTTTGGTGTAAATGCAACATTCATATATCCATGGAATGGAATGACTTCTCAGAATGCCAGGAGCTGTACTCATGTGGAAGTGTCCCCAGGAAATGTTTAGAAATTATACAAGCAAGGTTCAGTGTCCATTGCACTTAAACATAAATGTTCATGCATATACATATGTAATGGTTCTATGCATATATATGTAACACATTTGTCAGACTTATATTTCTATGAAAGGAGGAATTGTTTTTACTTTTGTTTTTGAGGAAATTTTTTTCAATACAGTTAGATAGTAGATCAGTGTGTTGAACTTGAGGCCTTGCATCTGAAAGCACAACTTTTGTACTCTGTCAGGTTTTAAGCATGGACTTACATCTATTCATTTTTCAAAAGATTTCAAAAGACAAGCTCCCCTTACATTTTTTGCTTTCTCTTGTGTTTATCACAGCATTTTAATATGTTTCATATCCCATATTTCATTTTTCGACTGTAGAGGAATGCACGTAGCTAATCAAGACTGTAAAATAAGTTGATGATCTTAAAAATGATAGATGTCATTAAGAAACTGAAGAAATGTGTATTGCTATCGCTTACAGTTATTTGTTTACTATGATTATAAGAAATACTTTCTCACAAGACAATATGTTTTAAACACATTTAATATTATCTTTGTGCTCGTAAATGAATTAGGTGGAAACATACATCAGTGAAGATAAAGGCTGGAGAACTTTAATTAAAAATGCCTACATCTTAGCAACATATCGAAAGTATTCATTTCAAATGTTTTATTTCTTATATATTTAACTTGACATGAAGACCTACAATTTTCAATTCTATGAAATTTGATAACTAGTTGAAATATGTAGCTATTTCATTTACTGTCCGTATATTTTGTAAATTTATACTTAATCAGGTTTAGTTAAATTATTGAACTCTTATGTTATCATAACACCCTTAGCTTATTGTTTATATAATCATGCCCAACTTTGTAACACATCTGAAATATACTGAGTTGGTTTCTGAAGAGAGATATGCTTCACTTGGCTACAGAAAGCATCACAATTCTGATGTTTGCCTAACATTCTAACATTAGATAAAACTTCCAATGGGCAAGCGAGGTAGACACATGTATGCTTGAGGAGTTTTGCTGAGGTTGATAGGGTTCCCATCCAGTCGAATATCCTCTAATGCCTTACGAACATAAGTTAAGTTTTTAACATTACAGAAAGTATCCTCATGCATCTCCAGAATGTCATTATTCTAAAAGAGAAAAAAATGTGAAAAGACAAGACATAACATCTTCAAGGCATTGAGTGAAACAATAGTACATTTTGAGTCACCTCTTTTAATTCTTTTATTTATTCCACCAGTCAAAACTATTTGTTCTATGATTATTATATACTAAGCATTGTTTGTGCCATAAGTATACAGTTAGTTAACAAAGTAGACATGTTCTTACCAGTATGAGGCACATAATGGGATATATGTTAAAAGAATGTAAGCAAGTAAGGGGAATTATTGAAAGAAAGAAGTGTTTGTAAGAATGATGACAAAACTTTGATGACAAAATGGTACAAGAATACATGGGCATTGAGAGAGTCAAGGGAAAAGCATCCTGGGAAGAGACAAAGCAATCACAAAGGCCCGAGGCTATGAGTGAAGCCACTTCTGCACATCTAGAATTCTCATCAAGTAGGCTGAAGTGAACAAATGAGAGAGCAAATGTTTCTTACCCTAGTCCTGAGAAGCTACAGACTTACCTTTTGGTTTATTATAGATTTCTCTGTGCTGAATTTACATATGTGGAATTATTAAATGTTAGTTTTGAAAGAAATGTGTGTTTTCAAAAATTCTGAAGACTTGAGGAAAGAGGAGGTGACCGTTTCAAATTGGTTTAAGAGGTAGTAGTGAGGGTTTGTTCACTTGGAGTCATGTGTTAAAAATTCATGTGTGTTACAGTATATGATGATGTTTTCTTCCTTTGTTCTTATCTCTGAGTATTTCATTAAATGTATATAGTCTTTGTTATTCACTCATTTGTTAATGCAAGAGTGGATTGTTACTCAACACAACAGTGATTTGTCTCTCATGAAAACTGGTTTCATGAATATTTCTGTGCAAGTTTTATGTGGAGACAAATAATTCCTTTCTCTTACACATATATGCAGACACCAAATCTGTGAGATATAACTCTCTCTCTCTTTTGAATTTAGAGGAACTCTTGAAGTATTTTCAAAAGTAGCTACAGCATTTTATACCCCAAAGAGCAGAACACACATTTTCTTGAAACCTGAAACAATTGTGAGTGTGGGTATTAGCTCATTGTATATTTTTTATTGTATATTTGTTTATACAGTTGATCTTACATTATTATGGTATACTATATTATGGATTGTGGATCTCAAAATCTTATGGAATAATACAGAGATATGTTGGTCTTGTAGCCTGTCACACTGCTGAACTCCAATGCTGTGCTAAAAGCTTAGGTTCTTCCTTACAATTTGCTACATGCAAAACTTGCAGATGAATTTAAGAAGCATGTGCATCTCAAAAATGGAATACAGTTTTGTAATCTATAGTATTAAGGCATTTTCATTTTATCTAGACCTTATAACTATTTATATCTGTATTGCATCTTTGATAGTACAATGCTTATTATTCTTTTTGTTAAATTAGTTTTTGTATTTAAAAATAAGTGTCATTATTAAAGAGAAAGGATTTGTTTGTGTATGATAGTGAGAACTTAAAATTTCCAACCTGAGGTGGCAAAGTTAAGAGGCTCTCTGACATGTTGCAGGTTGTGTCTGTGATATATAGGAAATTCCAAGCTAACTAAGGGTACATACTAAGACTCTGTGCCAAAGACTAGATAGATAGATAGATAGATAGATAGATAGATAGATAGATAGATAGATAGATGATAGAAGAAATTATAGAGAGACATTAGACAGATGTTAAGTTGATGGATGACAGATGATAAAGTATTTTCTTAATATAGTTCTCAGATTGATTGTTGTAAGGTATAAAAGGTATAATTTACATTTGCAAAAGACCTTGCAACTTGTCTCATTACTGAATTCCCTCACAAGTTCAGATATATTTTAATGGATTCTTTCAGATTTTCTGTGTATAAGATCTTGTTATCTGAAAGGAAAAGTAGAAAACCTTCTTCCTTTGCCATCTCTGTGTTAATTATTAATTTAATTTACCTTTTTCTGCTTTTCTCAGTAGGATTATCAAGCACAATATTTAATAAGTTACTAAGACTAACAAGCCCTCATCTTGTTTCTGAGCTTAGCAAGAATGTATTATAGTATTTTGTGTGGGTTTGGAATGATTTGCTTGACAATTGTCCTTCTATTTCTAGTTTTATTTCTTTAGAGAATTTGTAAGAAAGAGGTTTTGAATTTTGTTAAATACATTTTCTGTATCTACTTAGACAATAAGGGAGTTTTATCTTCTGTTATGTTACTATGGCACATTTATTATATTTCCTTGATAATGGTTAAGCTATTCTTTTACTCTTGAAATAACTGTCACTTGCTAATGGTATGTCATTTTTTTTTACATATTAGTGGATTTGGAATGTTTCTTGCCATGTTGGATTGTGTTGATAGGATGCATTGACCTATAGTTTTCTCTTCTCCTGATAGATTTGTCTGAGTATAATTTTGTTACTGAGATAATATTAACTTATTTTCAGGGCATAATCTTCCTTCCCTTATTTAGAATTCTTTGTAAAGGATTAAAATATATGAAGGAAATAATACTGGTAAGAAAAGTTCAAGAGACAAGTTAGCCGTCTTTCAGATATATACAGAAACACAACAAAAGTATAGACATATAAACACTAGCAGGAATAAGAAAATGCAGATGTAAATAGTAACAAAATGTACACAGAAAATCATCAAAACTCAAATTACTTCTTGCTTGTACTTCAGCAAATTATGGATTTTTTCCTATTTATTTATTCCACCAAAAATTAGAATATACCAGAAAAGGCTGATTATGAATATTAAACAAGTTACAGCCATGTGGGTATGAAGTAAATTATCTACCATTTTTTAAATAGCTAAAACTGTTTCACAGAGCACAGTGTAACCGTATGAATGGCAATGAAGTGAATTTAGAAAATATTAGGCCATAACATTTGTGAAAATGCATTTTTCTTCATTTCCCCCAAAATAAGATTCTGTTTAATGGAAGTAGGAATAACTTTCAACTGTTTTTATTTTGCGTTTTTTTTTTGTTTGTTTTGTTTTTACAAGAAAAGACTGTAAAAGAAAAAAAAAACCCGAAACTTTCTTTAACTGAAAAAAGGGAGATTTGTCATTTTGTAAGGACATGTGGATTTCTTTGGACTGAACTTACTTCATTATAAAACCTGATGTTAAAAATAAAAATGAACCTGAAAAATTTTTCTGAAATCTGTAAAGCAAGCTAGATTTTTGCCTTGCCTTTATGAACCTTGTGTATTTCTTCACTGGATGAATCTTTTAATTTTAAGAAAAATCTTCATTATCTAAATTGTACTTTTAGAAGACTAAAAATAACATTTGAAGCTACCGTCAGTTTAATAGAGTAGATAGAACCATGAAGATGCAAACACTTTATTTGCTGAAGGAATAAAGTATTCTGGTAAATACACAGAAGCAGGAAAAGTTGATGCATACGTCAATAGGTCAGAATGGATGAATTGGTTAGGTCTGGCTTCCATCTGTTTGAGTCTGTTCATCCTGGAGTTTTCAGGCTCAGTTTACCATGAGAAACCTACCTGGAGGTGAAGAGCCCGCAGACTTTCTGGGAGTGGTAGAGGGATATGATCCAAGCTGTTATCCGTGATGTAGAGATGGTGGAGATCATACATATCCTATAAACAACCATATAGAAGACTGACTTTCTTCTCTAGGCAGTAAATTTAAACTAGCATGCCCCTGTCAGGACCCTGGTCTCTAAATTACTAGACAATTCTGCAAATTTTGGAATATTTGGCTATAAGCATACTGTTTTATGGAAATGAAAATTATGTTTTAGTCATTTAGAAAATAACTTGTTACTTCCTATATAATTTGAAATTAGATCCTGAAGGATCTATATCTTTATCATCTCTATCTCTATCTCTATCTCTATCTCTATATCATCATCATCTCTATCCCTATATCTCTATATCTCTATATTTCTATCTCTATATCTCTATCTCTCTATCTCTATATTCATTCTTTTATTTTTTAGGTTTGAAAAAGGAAAATTTCTTTTAGTCAATGACTAAATGCTTAAGGAAAATTATATTATGGCAAGACAGAAAACATTTAGACAATAGCTGGTGTACACTAGCCAAGCAGCCCAATGAAGAAGTGACTCATCTCCACTTACGCCTTCTCGTTTCAACACTTGCCAGTGTGTAGGAAGAGATGCCCTAAACTCAGCTACCATTGGCAGGATATTCAAACCTTTGTCAGTGCACACTTCCCACCACCAGCTTCCTGAGTACAATAATTTTCCCTTCAAAGACCAAGTAAAAATTTACCATTTATCCTATATCTAGAGGAGAAATTCGAATGGGATGAGGGGTTCATAAGAAAGCTAGCTAGCTATTGTCCTTGGGTTACAGCCGTTGTTCTAAGCAGGGCTTCCAGATCCAGACTTGTCTCTTCACTTATACTCCCAAAGGATAACTCAACCTAGACTCTTTATGTCCTTCTGTTCTCAAAGCAATACTTCCAGCCTGCCCAATCACCCAACTTGATATCTCCCCTTGGGTGGAATTTTATGGAAAGTTAAATTTTCTATCTTATCTTCCGGGAACTTTTGGCAAATATGTGTCCAGAGGCCACTGACTTCTAATTCAATCCCTGCTTTCCATTATTAGGGATGGACTGCTCTCAGAATGAATCAGAATATACCTTATTTTCAGGTTCCATAGATAATACAGAGGAGCTCATTTTAGAAGGTTAAGTTGCCGTTCCATGAAATAGTTTTGGAGATGAGCAAAGGCTAGACCATGACAGAAGAGAAAGGTGAGACTGATGGGCTTCTGTATGCATGTGCCATCAAAAACTTACTTTAAATGCTTCTTGCTTAATGCCTTTCCTTCCGAGTCTATTGTTGCTGATATCAATAAATGTCAAAGTGTTTGGCAATTCTGGAAGCTGCTTTATCTTATTGTCACGCAGAACCAGCTCTTGGAGGCGAGGCAGCTTTCGGAATGCATCTTCATCAATCTCGGATATTAAATTTGATGTCAGATCAATCCTTTTTAAATCACCTAGAAGAAAAAAAATATGGCAGTTGCTAAATAGTCTTGAATATGGTTGACTCAAACAAAACATGAGTAAATACATATCACAAGTATAAATATAAATATTAACTTGTATTAAATCTGTAATAAAGTAGTTATTTTATGAAAGTGCTTTCAAAATGAGATTTGTGCTCATATTTCTGGAGGAAACTATCATTTTATTAAATAAGTGGCCATATTATATTTTGAATAGCTCTTTTTTTCTTTACATGTTTTATAATCTTTGTCTGGACTTCCCTACTTAAAGCGTTTTCCTCAGAAAAATGTGCTACTTTTTTTCTGATAGTCCAAGATACAGACATAAAAATGAAATATTTATATTGTTGAAATGTTTTGTCAAGACAACTACTAAAATTCTTCTAAGAAAGCACCTATTCTAAAGTAGAATTTAAGTTCATATTCTTCAATCATAAATCAACTGTGCTTTAATGAAAACACATCAAAGAAGCCCCGAACATTTGTTAGTTTAATACCATGGCAGTTCACCCACAATTATCATGTGAAAATTAGTTGTAGCTTATGAAATAATATTTATAATTAAAATTAGTTAAAATAGCTTAAAAATAACAATTATGTAATTTCCCATTGGTTATTGACTATGTGTTCTTCCAGCTTACCATTATGAAAACATACTTTCAAATATTTAAGCAAAAATAGTAATTAATTTTTGAGCTTTTTAAAATCAGAGTTTCATTCTAAGTATCAACATTTTACATGATTAAAAATTCAGGGAGGTCTCTGAGGAAAAATGAACATGTATGTCCGTACTTAAGCTTGCAAAGTCATTTTTGTTGATCTTTTTAATTCTGTTAAACCGTGAATAGAAATATGTAGTCTTCTTGGGCAGTGGAGGAATGGCATCAAGTTCATGGTCATCGCAGTATACAGTGGTACTTATACAAGTACACAAAAGGCAGGTTGGAAAGTCTGAAACACATATAAATGATGATATGTCAGTAAAAGAGTTCTAAAGAGAATGTGGTTCTGATTGCTAAATATACAACATTGAGCTATCTCTCAGACTTTCCTGATATATTTCACAAATTTTCAAAGCACTCTTAGCTAGTAGTACATGAAAGTCATTAAGTTAGAGCATCTACCACATTGCTTGTAAACCTGTTTTTATGGATATATTATGCAGTTACTTTTCCACCTATTATATGTAAAGGTAACATAAATTCAAAACATAAATATTGAGATAATATACTTTATAAAGTTAAATTACTACGTATTCATTACACATTTGATTCAATATTTAAACACTCCATTGAAAAATGTATTTCAAGAGATCATACAAATTCATATTTATTCCTCCATTACATGCATATTTCATATAAATGACATGGTTGTCTGAATGACATGTTGGCTACTGAAATATTGATGAAAACCCCACAAAGCTTTGTGATTGTGATGATTTGTATATGCTTATCCCATGAAGCAGCATTATTTGGAGGTGTGGCCCTGTTAGAACAAGTGTGACCTTGTTGAAGTAGATATGTCACTGTGGGCTTGGCTTTAAGACCGTTGTCTTAGCTTCCTAGAAGCTATTATTCTGCTAGCAGCATGGTGGTGATGGATGACAGATTATAGTCTGTGGCAGCTAAAACTGAATGGAAGCAAAACAAGAAACTTGTATAGAGATGTTTGCTGAAAGGAAAGGTAAAGAATAGATGTATTTGTGTGTCTTGTAAAGTGATGTACTCTAGTTCAATTTCTACAGCTATGATAAAATAAACTGACAAAAAGACATTTAAGGAACCAAAGGTGTATGAGGGTTTACAATTCTAGGTTACAATCTGTCATTATAGGGAAGTCACAGCAGCAGGAGCTTGGATCAACTGTCACATCGTATCTACAGGCAAGAGCAGAAAGGCATAAATGCCTACATGCTTGGTGCTCACCTAGCTTTCTCTACTCCTATCCAGGTCAAGGTCCCAAACTGGGCAATGGTGTCAGCTATTTTCATACTGTATCTTCTACAGATATTTAAGGTAATCAAGGCAATTTCCACAGATAACACTCACGGGCCAACCCTGATGTAGACAATCGCTCACTGAGTCTCTTTCCAGGGGATTCCATTTTTTTGTAGTTGATAATTAAAAGCAACCATCCCAGTAGGTAACCACAGTGAAGGGAATTGCAGGAAGATATGCCTCATTTCATATGAGAAGAGGTTGGATGCTGAAGGGAAGGTAGAAGTAATTGGACCTTGTTGCACAGTTAAAAAGTACCAACACCTCACAAGTGGGAAGGCATGCAGTCACTCAGTTATACTAGGAATGAATGGATGAAGCGGATGATAGTTAATATAGGTCGGTTGTGAATCTGCTATGGCTGGGAGAGTAGATTTTCTCTGTAAAGTAAGAGATTAGATGATAAGGCTCAGGAGTAATAGAAAGGACGAGCATGAGAGTAATGAGGTGTGAGGTGAATCAAGGACGTGAAGTAGCTTCAGTACAGGTGTAAGGCTTTGAGGTGAATGAATCATGCATATCAAGACAAGGAGAGAAAATGGTAGTGGTGGAATGGAATTTGAGGATTATTCCGCGTCACCAGCGTGTCTACATTGACCTGGAACTTTCCTCGACTACACATCCTGTGCCTAAGAGGAATATTTCATCACTCTAGGTAAAGGGCTCATGTGTCATTTCTGATCAAGAACTAAAAATATAACTATTGAGATCTTATTGTTTTCATTTAGAAAGTATAGTACACACAGTAACAACTTTGGGAAAAAAATCATTTGGTCGAGAAAAGTAAAGAGAGTTCTTTAAGGAGAATCTGCAAGGTATTTAATCTTTAATATGTTCTCTAGTCATTATAATTTCATTATTTCCACTGATAAATTTTAAATGAGGGTATTTGATTTTGTACCAGTGTTAGTCTTGTGTTTTAGTATTAATTGCACAGAATAATTTATACACATTCACTTGGATTGTGATTTATTTTCGTTTTAGTACTCTCGTAGATTGTGACCATTTGGATTGAATTAATTTGGTAAAAGAAAATTTTGAATTTGAATATTCTACAATTTTCCAAGCTGTTAAACATTCATGAATGTATGCTTCTTTTTCTGGAACTTAAAATGTAATTTGAGTTTTAACTTCATTATATACCCTTGGTTGACTCTTAGTTATAAAATAAAATATCAATTTTTTGATATTCTCCCCAAAATTATTGAACCCAAACTTGATAGCAAATACTAGAAGGACTATGCCCAAGTTAGGCAAACAGGGCTAGGCTTGGGAGACTGGGGAAGGCATGGGGAAGAAAGGTGCTGGTCCTGTACACAGGATTGGTACCATCAACCTAGCCAATTATTTATGACTATGGAGGTCATAGACACTAGAGGAGAGTCTACTAAAGCTAATTTCTTAAACCAATAAATTTCCATCTGCATTCTAAATAGCTATTTTCATAACCACAGATGAGAGTAATTCTCACTCACCATCAAAGAAGTTTCTCTTTGTAATAGCTGAAGAATATTATGGGGATCCATAACTGGTCAAAATGCATAGACTATGAGTTACCCAGCTACAACAGATACATCTATAATGTAACCCCTACATTTAAGTCTCAGGCAGTATCATGAAAGAAGGTATGAAAAGATTTGTAAGACCTAAAGGACCGGGATCCCTGCTGCTGTAGATGCTATAGAGGATCATTTAGAAAAGACGGGGATCGGGAGGGGGAGCTACAGCTGTGAAATCTCAATAGGATTGTCTATACAAGGCCTGCATAATGACAACACTAGCTGACATGGATGTGGGAAATGTTATATCATCTTACTCCTAGAATAAGAACTATAGTTAGTCAATGACTACAGAGAGAGGTGAAAACAGTTTCCATCAGGGACAAGCTCCCAGGCAGGTTATCCATCCCTAAGTGATCAATCCCAAAGCCTTGTGAGCAACATTAAATGGACTTGGGAAGATGTATACACACACACACACACATAGAGTGTGTGTGTGTGTGTGTGTGTGTGTGTGTGTGTGTGTGTGTATGTGTGCCTGTGTCAAACTCAAGGCACAACTGTTGGCCCATGTGGTCAGCTTTGTAAAAGATTGAAATTCCTTAACCACTCTTACTGCTTTAGGTACATTTAGTTTTCCTATGTGGCTACCTTCTCTCTTTAGGGAACTGACACTTCCTAAACTTGTTCTTGTGTATTTTTGGCTGTTTGTGGCTTTCTATTAAATAGAAATTTAACTACATGGAAAGATTGTGTTGTATTCCTTAAAGAAAACTGACCTGATATTTTGTCTCTCTGTCTCCATTCTATACTCACGAGTTCATTTCAATGATTTTGCAGAGATTTACAGTATGCTGGCATTTGTTTTTCTTGTCTATCAAGGAAGTGATAGTTCCTACTCCAAAGGTTGGTGACTGCCAAGACTTGACATAAATCACTGTCAAGGACTGAATAGGAAGGAGGAGATTTTACAATTCAATTGTGATACTTGAAAATTTAGACAGGGAGCTGGATATTGTTTGCTAGAGCACAAGGGAAAGGAGAAGGAGAACTGACATATGAATAAGTGGTTATATAGGATAAGTAAGTTCTAGAGACCTATTTTCTAGGATGGAGAGATGTGGGGGCAGTGACCAATATTTACCTACAAATACAAATACAATTTCCTTAAGGGACAATCTCCCAGGCAGGTTATCCATCCCTAAGTGGTCAGTCCCAAACGCATGTGAGCAACATTGAATCGACTTGAGAAGATATATACAGACACACATATAGTGTGTGTGTGTGTGTGTGTGTGTGTGTGTACACACGTGTTTATGTTAGCCAATAATTATTAAAGAAAAGAATATATATCAAATTGCCAGGGACTTGGAGGAGTCACAGGAGGAGTTGCAATTACAAACAGTCTTGAATCTTAATAAATTGGCCTTCAACCCAAATCACTACCTTGTTCAGATTAAGACTTTCTTACTGAAAGGCAAAACAAAGTATTATTAACACCCCAGAAAGACTGTAAGGGGTGAAAGAAGGTAGCAGCATGCTTTTATTGTGGCTCACTGCCGGCAGATGCCCAATCAGCCCAACATGTTGTCCTTATTCTAAACAACATCCATTATGTCTTACGAGTTTGAACTGCACTGCGTTGATCTCAGAGGAGGACTTTCTATTAGTTCATCCAGTGCTGGACTCTGGAAATACATGGCCCAGAAATATTTCAAGTAATGGTCCCAGGCAAATATTTCCATCCTAAGCCTTTGGTTACTTGATTCTTTCCAGCCGGACAAAGATGCATTATAAAAGCTATTTGACACCTGACTACGAAATACATGTGTAACTCCATGCCTCAATGTGTATTTCAACCTTCTAGATTTTTTTGTCTTGTATTATTCATTACTCTTTTTGAGTGGAGTTGACAATTGGCAAGTTCTTTTAATTTTATGTGTTTCTTCTTTGAAGGTTTCATATACTTAAACATGTACCCTCATCATGTACACCCCTGACTGTCACTCCCTCAGTACCTTCCATTTCGTCTGTCTCCTAGCCTCATATGCCCTCATTTATTTTTATTTATTCTGATCCATTGAGTTTAGTTAATACTGCCCATGTGCATGCAGTGTGTGTGAATTTATCTCTTGAGGGACTGGGAAGCTAAGTATTCCCTAGCTAGTAGAGTTGGGGTTTGGGGGCTCTTCTGTTCTCCATGTTGGAATTTTAACTGTCTTGACCTAGTGTAGGTAACTAGAGTGCTTGTGAGTTTATGGGTGCAACATACTTCCCATCCTCCTGGACCTACAGTGTTGAGTCTCCTATTTCAAGAAATTTTCTGAGCCCTTGGGTGTGTTGAGCATTAGTGTAGAGGTCCCATCTATGGCTGAGCACTCACGGGTGCTTATGATCAGCATTCTGTATAAAATGAGTCTGTATTGCCATTACCCACTCTAATAAGACACTTCTCTAAGCACGGTTGGGAACAGCAACAACCTATAGATAAAAGCATAAATATTTACAAGGCTGATGGACAACCTGACTACTTAGCAATTCAACACCCATAATTTCTCTTCCTAGAACTCCTAACTTCTTTTGCCATGGACAAGGCAGACTCCTTGTAGAATGAGTTGAAACTTGTTAGTTTTGAGAGATAACAATGTCTATTTGGTTATAATTCAGTATTAACTTATCTGACCTTCATTGGTGTGTGGACCCAAAAGCCCTGGGAATTCTGGCTCCTGTGGGGAAGAGCCATCGATCAGCCTAGGAGTAGATTCTTCATCTTTATCCTCATCCTGGTTGTCTTCTAGAGGTGGGCCTGGGGTGAGGAGCTCTCTATTCCCAGAAAGCCTCTCTGTGACTTTCTCAGTCTGAAAACAAACAGAATTTAAAGGTAAACTCAATCACCCTCCATGCTCATGGTACAAATGTAGCATGCGTCCATCTGTGCCACCAGATGTCACTACTGTTCCTACAGTCAACACAGTGTGCCTCGCTCACCAATGTTTGTCTGAAATACAATTACTGTTTTCAAAAGTTTGTTTCTCAAATCTTAGGAACTGGTTTCAGTGACACCCCCCCCCCCATTTTGTGTTGCTATTTCCTTGAACTTCATTTTTTTTTCATTTCACGGGTTTTTTTTAATGATACAGCTTTATAAGAACATAATTGTTAGATTCACTTTAATCAAAAGTATGTAAAACAAAATTCAAGTCTTCCCTTCACTCCTGAGCCCAATTCCCTCTCATCATATCTTGAAGATAACTATTGAGATACAGACTAGTACTTTCTTTTTCTTTTTTTTTCCTTTTTTATTGGTTATTTTATTTATTTACATTACTAATGTTATCCCCCTTCCTGGTTTCCTTCCCACAAACCCCCTTTCCCCTCCCCTTCTCCTTGCTTCTATGAGAGTGCTCCCTCCCCAACCGACCCACACGTTCCTGCCTGACCACTCTAACATTCCCCTATGCTGGGGCATCAAGCCTTCACAGGACCAAAGTCCTCCCCACTAATCGATGCCAGATAAGGGAATTCTCTGCTACACATGCAGCTGGAGCCATGAGTCCCTCTATATGTATTCTTTGGTTGATGGTTTAGTCCTTGGGAGCTCTGGGGAGTCTGGTTGGTTGATATTGTTGTTCTTCATATGGGGTTGCAAACTCTTTTCTTCCTTTAGATTTTCACTTCAGAAAATCAAATTTACTCTTTCTTGCAACTGCTTCGTGGTACCCTCAATTGTCTTTTATTAAAAAATAATCTTCCTACTGAGGAAAAACCTACAATGACATCAAAACTATGCAATTTGATTATGAATGTCATTAATAATGTGTATTTCCACGTGGATACTAAATACTGCAATGGTATTTGAGTATATTAAATTGACATTTTTGAGACCTTTGGCAATAGGAGTCATTTAAAATGGTAATAACAATTCTATTTTTCAGAATACATTTTCAAATTTCACTTTCATTTTACCTTACATCTTTTGTGGTATGAGTTATTGCTTCTAACAGTATTTACAAATCCTTCATTTTCAGTTCCTTTCCGTTATGCTAGTGTTTATTCCTGAAAGTATATTATTTCTTGATAAGTATGTTCTTCTCCATGACCTTGAAAGCCTCAGATGGAGATTTGCTAAAGACATTTGGAGCAGCAACATCCTGACTCCAACCTTCTTGTCTGCTATTCCCGTGGTATCACCAGAAATCTCACATTCTTCATTGATCACAGCAGCATGCACCCATCTGCATTAATTTGTACCCATTAAAAAAGCAAAACCACACAAATTACTTCTAAGTTATTTACTACCTGAATGGCAGTACCAAAAACAGGAATATAAATTACTCCTTGTCTTATAATAATCATATAATTTTTCAAGAAAGACATATTTTTACACTTTTGATAGATTTGTGAACATTTCATTACCAAGGAAAATAATGCAAATTTAAGGTACATTATTCTAGGTTCTCTATTTTAGCCCCTTTCTACCCTACATATGTGCCCATTGGCTGATTTCATGCCCAGGCCTATTAGATAGTAAACACTGAATTATACTTCCATCTTTGTACTTTTAGGCTGCAGCATAATAAGCAACTTATAAAATTTATGGAGTATATTCTTTAAAGATCCTTGCCTAAGATACATTTAATTCATATATGCTCATAACCCTAAGGATTTTGTGCAAAGACTCTATGAATGTGTGGATGCCTGCTTTCAAACAGGAATCTAACTAAGAATGGATTGCTTGATATTGCAAGAGCCATCCAGAGATGCTGAAAAGCCTGGCCAGAAATCTCCAGCTGAGAAGCCAGGATGCATCTACAGAAAGACACACGGTTTCCATCAGTGTGGTCATAGTGAGGCAGCTTCAGTGGAATGGCTTTGCAGAGACTAAAAGCAGGCTCCAGGAAGAGCGGAAATTGAGACAGATGTTTCATGGAATGGAAGGGCCTCCTGAAGGGAGGAACACATTCCAGACACATTGCCTCGAATCTTTAACTCTGTAGGAAAATGTTTGCACATCTCCATCTCCTCCCATCCCCCAGATAATAGTTTTTCCACTGATCTGATGTAAAACTATAATGTCTCATTTGTCATTCAATGCAAAGAGGCCAGACAGCTCTGGGTGCTTTGTTCCTGCTTGCTTGCAAATAAAAAGAGCAACGTTTAAAGCAAGGAGAGGCAGTGCGTTTTCATTTCAGCAAAATTGCAGAACTCTAACCCCATTATGCTGTGCCTGGAGAGTCTTCTGCATGGTAGACACATTTATTCTTACGATTAAATAAACATTGTTTGGGTTCCCGTCTTTTCCCTTTTGCTCACAATCTTGAAACTGCAATATGAAGTTAGAAGCAATTCACTTTAAAAAGCAAGGTCAGGGAACTGTGGACACCTGTCTGTCGGAATGATGAACTTTTTTATTCCTTATGCTTCAGAAACCTAAACGTGGGCCTAAGCACAAAACCCTCCAAATACGCTTCAACTATAAGTGGTATTGCTCTGTGGAAAGTACAATTGAGTCTTTCATGTAAGTATTCATTGATTATTTCATATTCATTCTCTGTTCTTTTTCCTTTATCTCTTTATGTATTCAGATTTTCTTTCTGTGACTTTACAATTATATCTCTCCAGGCTTTACAAACATTTGAAAACATAATCATTGCACTTGAAGATAACAACCTAGTGCCAGATACCAACACAAACTATATCATTTTTCTTTTGATTCTTTAATTTTGGTTTTGTGGTAACTCGAGTATCCCTGGTACCTTGTTTACCTAACCTTAAACTACAATATTTGTCATGGTAGACTGTGTTTAGGAGTATATTTTATTTCTACAAAAGATACCAGAAATGATATAGCTCAGACACAGCATCATGGAATTAGGAGGACTCACCAGTTGTTGCCATGGAAGATGGGAAAGGAAACTCCCAAATAAATGAGGATATCCTCAGGGTTACTCACTGTCAGTATCCTGCACAGCTGGGACTCCAGGTGTTCATCTTAACATACAGTGTTATCTCAGGGCAATGGACCGAAGAAACCCTAATATGAGTCTCTAAGTATCTGCTCCCTAAAGGAAGCTACTCAAAAATTAAATGCATTTCCATATTTTTATATCAAAGAGTACAGAAATTTGTACAAAATATTCATATTGATATGCATAGTCTTAGAAAATATTGAAGATTTGCAATTCTGGTCGTTGACAATACTATTTCTATATAGAAGAACTTCCTTATAAAAGTATGTTGTGGTATTTTCAGTGGCAGTCTTTTGTTAAAAGTATTTTGACCAAATATAGGTTTATCTTGCGAAATGACATCTGACTGATCTGTGCAATTATATTAATATTTGTAAAACTATGTGATTTATTTGGCTTAATTATGGGGGGATGATATGTGCTAGGTAAGAGAAGCCACATTTCTCTTAAGTTGTTTTCCTGGATAGAGTCCCTCCAGGACATCTTTCTTTTAAAGCACCACCAAAATTAAAGAAAAACTAAACATACAACTTCCATATGGGTGGAGATGCTGAAAGGAATGGAGGGAAGGGAACCTGGGATAGGGATGTAATGCATGACAGAAATGAAAAAGAAAACAAAGTAAAAGGTGAAAGAATAAACCTGAAAAGATGAAATGAAAGCAGTAGAAGAAAGTCTTACCTTGCCCTCTACAACATAATACTAGGGAAACTGAAGAGGCAGGGAGGACATGAAAGTATCAAATGGATGGGTACAGGAAAAAGCCATAATGAAGTATCCCGCCACAGAGGTCAATATAAATATATTCACAGGGGTAGTATATTACTTGTGATATGAGAGAAGAAAGGGAGTGAAACTAGGGTGAGGTAGAGAGATAGGAAGACCAAGAGTGAACAGGTGGGCTAATACAAACCAAGGACGTAAGACAAGCCTTATGAAAATCCACTAGTTAGTAAATTTATTTCAGAATACAACGTTTTAAAAAGAATCATTTGAGTGGGGGTGTCCTACATTAGTGGACACAGCTCTTCCAGAAGACATGGGTTATTAAATCAAAATCACAGAGCAAAGCATAGCCTACCTGCACAAGAAAGACCCCAGAGGCCTGTAAAACAACAGAGGCCATTGCTTTTGCCCTTAGTTTCTCACCAAAGCTATACAGGAAGCTACTTGCTCAGGAAAAAACACATCCTCCTCCCCACCACCATTATCTGCCAAGACAATTTGGAAATGTCCTCCCTCCTGGCTAGTTTTCAATGTACAGAAAGCTGCTATGTAGGTTGCTGAGGGGAAAAGACAGACCACCGCTGTGGGTTTCACCTTGTCCTGGACCCAGCAAGCCATAACACCAACCTGCCAGGTCAAATGTGCCCTTTGGTGCAGTAGTGAGTGGCAGGACTATCATGAAGTAACCAACTATATTCTTTTGGAAGAATGCTCTACAGGAAGTTTCATGATTTGGGATTTTAATACTGTTTAAAGCCTGTGCCGAGCAGGTCCTAGAGCCTAGAGTAGAATTTGATATTTTTTTTATTTACCTACGTGTTCATGTCATCAAATTACCTTCTAAATATTTACATTTGTAACAACAGGCATGAGATCCTGTTGAAGCTGATCAGAAAGACTTCTTTTACGGTGGACATCAGTTAATGGAAAGATGCATATATAGTCAAAGTACTTAGAACAAGAGACAGGGTGCTCAGTGATAAATGCGTCTTGTTCATCACTGCCTCTCAGTTAAGGTTCAGGAAACATTGTGGAAGATGGAGTAGAAATCCCTGGGATGGGAAAGATTGTTGGGATATGCTGTCTTCTGGACATGATATGGTTGCTGCCTTTCAGACCTTCCCCAAGTTGTGTTTCCCAGCATAGGAGATTGATCTCTGGCC